TCCCATGAATGCTTTTGATTAAATATGATTGATATCCAGTGCATAGTTCTACAGAAGAAGTCGTTTATAGCAATCTAGCCAAATTGCCCCCTTTTTGGCCCCGCCCCTCAGCCCCCTGGGGGGTCAGCCCAACCATTTGTACAATTTTGAATCTCCACCACCTAGGGATGCTTCCAGGCAAATATGGTTGATATCCATCTCTTAGTTCCAGAGAAGAAGTCGCTTAAAGCAATATAGCCAAATTGCCCCCTTTTTGCCCCGCCCCTCAGCCCCCTGGGGGGTCAGCCCCACCATTTGTACAATTTTGATTTCCCACCACCTAAGGATGCTTCCAGTCGAATTTAGTAAAATTCCAATCAGTGGTTAAGAAGAAGAAGTCGTTTAAAGAAATTGTTGACGGACGGACGACGGACAACGGACGGACAGACGCCACGGTATGGCATAAGCTCACCTTGGTCCTTTGGACCAGGTGAGCTAATAAGAAAAAGAGGCCCAATGGGCCTGCATCACTCACCTGGTATAAATCTCACACTTGTAACCTTAAACGTGATCTAAAACAAAGCTACGGGCAAAATATCAGTATTTAAGATTAAAAGTCATTCAAAAGAACCTGTTAAAAGATTTAAAAACATCTCACCCCTTTGACCTTGAAAGTCGAACAAGGTCATTATGTTGAACAGATTTTATAGCCCTTCATCTCAGGATGCAACTTGCAAAATATCTACATCCTATCCTTTTGTTTATTAAAATTAGGTCATTTAAATGTTTATAGATATTTGACCAAATGTGACCTTGAAAATGGGTCAAGGTCATTTACATGAAAAAGCTTGATAGCCCTTCATCCAAGCATACTACTGGCTAAATATCAACATTCTGGGACTCATTGTTATTCAGAAGAAGTCGTTTGAAGATTTTAAACAAATTTTACCCCACTGACCTTGGATATAAGTCAGGGTAATTTATTTGAACAAACTTGGTAGCCCTTCATCCCATCTTGTTATGGGCCAAATATCATCATCCTGCAACTTTTTGTTATTCAGAAGTCATTTAAAAGTTTCAAACATATTTGACCACTGTGACCTTAAATATAAGTTAAGGTCATTCATTTAAGCAAACTTGGTAGCCCTTCATTCTAGTCTACTGCTGACTAAATATCAACATCCTGGGAATTTTTAACTAGTCAGAAGTTGTTAAAAGTTTTTAACATATTTGACCCCTGTGACCTTGAATATGGGTGATGGTCAATCATTTGAATAAACTTGGTAGCCCTTCATCTCAGCATGCTCCTGGTGAAAAATCATCACCCTGGTCATTTTGTTATTCAGAAGAAATTGTTTAAAGTTTTCAACATATTTAACCCTTTTGACCTTGAATATGGGTGAAGGTCATTTATATGAACAAACTAAGTAGCCCTCCATCCTAGCATGCTACTGGCCAAATATCATCACCCTGGGCATTTTTGTTATTCAGAAGAGGTTGTTTTAAGGTTTTGTAAGACAATTGACCCTTGTGACCTTGAAAATGGATGAAGGTCATTTATTTGAACAAACTTGGTAGACCTTCATCCCAGCATGCTACTGGCCAAATATCATCACCCTGGGCATTTTTGTTATTCAGAAGTTGTTTTAAGATTTTTTAAGACAATTGACCCTTGTGACCTTGAAAATGGATGAAGGTCATTTATTTGAACAAACTTGGTAGACCTTCATCCCAGCATGCTACTGGGCAAACATCATCATCCTGGACATTTTTGTTATTAAGAAGAAGTTGTTAAAAGTATAATATTGACGCCGACTGGACACCAGCCGTCTGACTATATTTTTTTTAAAATCTCAATTGAAACCTGTTTAACTTGCGCTGACTGTTTTAGTGCTCACCTTATGTATGGGATAATTTTGACGTATCTGAGTAGTGAGTGACTAAAAATTGGTGACTTACCTGAGGACTGAGAGGCTATAATTGGTGACTTACCTGAGTATTGAGAGACAATAATTGGTGACTTACCTGAGTACTGAGTGACTTTAATTGGTGACTAACCTGAGTACTGAGAGGCTATAATTGGTGACTTACCCGAGTACTGAGAGGCTATAATTGGTGACTTACCCGAGTACTGAGAGGCTATAATTGGTGACTTACCCGAGTACTGAGAGGCTATAATTGGTGACTTACCTAAGTACTGAGAGGCTATAATTGGTGACTTACCTGAGTACTGAGAGGCTATAATTGGTGACTTACCTGAGTACCAAGCGGCTATAATTGGTGACTCACCTGAGTACTGAGTGACTTTAATTGGTGACTAACCTGAGTACTGAGAGGCTATAATTGGTGACATACCTGAGTACTAAGTGACTATAATTGGTGACTTACCTGATTACTGAGAGGCTATAATTGGTGACTTACCTGAGTACCAAGAGGCTATAATTGGTGACTTATCTGAGTACTGAGTGACTATAATTGGTGACTTACCTGAGTACTGAGTGACTTTAATTGGTGACTAACCTGAGTACCAAGAGGCTATAATTGGTGACATACCTGAGTACTAAGTGACTATAATTGGTGACTTACCTGATTACTGAGAGGCTATAATTGGTGACTTACCTGAGTACCAAGAGGCTATAATTGGTGACTTATCTGAGTACTGAGTGACTATAATTGGTGACTTACCTGAGTACTGAGTGACTTTAATTGGTGACTAACCTGAGTACTGAGAGGCTATAATTGGTGACATACCTGAGTACTAAGTGACTATAATTGGTGACTTACCTGATTACTGAGAGGCTATAATTGGTGACTTACCTGAGTACCAAGAGGCTATAATTGGTGACTTATCTGAGTACTGAGTGACTATAATTGGTGACTTACCTGAGTACTGAGTGACTTTAATTGGTGACTTACCTGAGTACTGAGAGGCTATAATTGGTGACTTACCTGAGTACTGAGAGGCTATAATTGGTGACTTATCTGAGTACTGAGTGACTATAATTGGTGACTTATCTGAGTACTGAGTGACTATAATTGGTGACATACCTGAGTACTAAGTGACTATAATTGGTTACTTACCTGAGTACTGAGAGGCTATAATTGTTGACTTACCTGAGTAATGAGTCACTATAATTGGTGACTTACCTGAGTACTGAGAGGCTATAATTAGTGACTTACCTGAGTACTTAGTCACTATAATTGGTGACTTAACTGGGTACTGAGAGGCTATAATTAGTGACTTAACTGAGTACTGGAGGCTATAATTGGTGACTCACCTGAGTATTGAGAAGCTATAATTGGTGACTTCCCTGAGTACTGAGAGGCGATAATTGGTGACTTACCTGAGTAATTAGTCACTATAATTGGTGACTTGCCTGAGTACTGAGAGGCTATAATTAGTGACTTACCTGAGTACTTAGTCACTATAATTGGTGACTTAACTGGGTACTGAGAGGCTATAATTGGAGACTTATCTGAGTACTGAGAGGCTATAATTGGTGACTTACCTGAGTACTGAGTGACTATAATTGGTGACTTACATGATTACTGAGTGACTATAATTGGTGACTTACTTGAGTACTGAGAGACTTCAGTTGGTTCCTTATGTCAAATAGCTCTGTTGAGGTTAAGAGGATTGTATTGAGGCTCTGCACCATCTTACATGCAAAATTTACATCCTCCTCTTCAACTAAAATTTGGGAAAATGACTGGAACACATCTACAGCATTCAAGAGTTGTGACAGTTGCCTGTAATATAAAACATTTAACAGGTGTGACAGTTGTCTGTTATATTAAATATTTAACAGTTGTGACAGTTGTCTGTTATATTAAATATTTAACAGGTGTGACAGTTGTCTGTTATATTAAATATTTAACAGTTGTGACAGTTGTCTGTTATATTAAATATTTAACAGGTGTGCCAGTTGTCTGTTATATTAAATATTTAACAGTTGTGCCAGTTGCCTGTTATATTAAACATTTATACATAACTTCACACAATGACAGAGTTAACCTGTTTATCACTTGAGTTAAGACACAGATATGTATATGCAAGCAAAGAACAAGTACTAAAACCTACTGCAAACATTTGGCGTATCAGGGGCTACACTCTATAACAAACCTACTAATAGTAACAAATTCTTTTCAAAAGATTTTAAAGGAAGCTAGACTCTGCGAAGTCACAGAGAAACTTGATAAAGAGCGCGAGCTAGACTCCAAAGAAAACAAGAGAAGCAGCTAGACTCTGAACGACTCCAGAGAAGCGACTAGACTCCTAATATCCATGGAGAAGCTATAAAAGACTATGAATTGGAAACGCTAGACTCTGAAGAAGACAAGAGAAGTCGCTAGACTCTGGAGGAATCCAGAGAAGCGACTAGACTCATAGCCACCCCAGAGAATATATCTGTTAGATTTACCATGAGAAAACTGGCTACAGATAAAGTGAAGTAATAATCTATTTAAGAGATTGGGGGTAAAATTCCCAAAGAATTTAAAGCCAAAATGGAACGATTATGTTAATCGACGTAAGAGTGAGAGGCCCCAATAACTTAAGAAATTATTTATAATATTGTAGGTAAAATGATAACTTTTTTAACTAGTCAAAGCTCATGTATTGTCGAGCTGTACAAATTGTAGCAGGGTCTGTTCGGATGAAACGCGTAAAACAGTCAGATGACCATCTACCCAAAGTCTGAATAACATGATCCTGGACACCGGCGGCAGCTGCTGAGGTAGCCGCACCAATACGAAAAGGAATGTCCATTAAAATCATGGCTGTTGATACCTATACGAGTCAGAGTTTCTTTGAGGTATGATATGAAAGTCTGATGCATCAACGGTTTGGGGAAAAAAACCATGTTTTCAATAAACAAAGGTGAAGTCATAATAGTTACTTGAGCCTTCCTTGCTGCTAAATAGGGAATCATGGTGAGCACAGGATGCAAAACATTGTTTTCAAACACTTTAATGTTCACTCCTTTACCATAGGGGTCCATTTTTGATGAACGCAGAAAAAGGGTAAAGGAAGACTTGTCCGGCACAACCACTATATCACACTTACGAATGTAAGAAGTATCGCGCAAGGTTTGCATGTGAACTCCCCACAGCACAGAAAGCCATAAAATGCTG